TATTAAAGGAAGAGCAATTCTTGCACCAACATTTTATGAGGTCGAGAAGATTAAAGATTTTATGTTGACGCTGAACAAATGAAAGAGGAAAAGGCATACGGAGTATTTTAGAACATAACGTAGTGAAATAGTCCACTACGGAGAAATCATCTCATCAGGCCGGCCTGACGGGCTTCCCCGTCCGGCCGAGCCCGTTTGGGCACCTTCCCGGTGGAATTTTTTGATGAAATTTTTTGAGCATGTTCCTCATCAAGTCTAGTTTGTCCATACCAAATTTCAGCTCAAAATTCGATCGGGAAGGTCGTCAAATGATTTTTGCAAGTTAACTGGTCCAGAATATGTATTTTCCGGACCAGTTAACTTGCAAAAATCATTTGACAACCTTCCCGATCGAATTTTGAGCTGAAATTTGGTATGGACAAACTAGACTTGATGAGGAACATGCTCAAAAAATTTCATCAAAAAATTCCACCGGGAAGGTGCCCAAACGGGCTCGGCCGGACGGGGCAGCCCGTCAGGCCGGCCTGATGAGAAGAGCTCTCGTCCACTACGTATCGAAAGTTCCGCAGTTTATAATTCATCCATCACAAAGCTTTAGATTTTGCCAACTTTCTTTCTTTTTGTCCCAAAAAGTTATGTCATTTGCCCACTAAAGTAACTAATTTGTGGTTTTGTTCATTTCTCTCTGCTCTACACAAACTTCAATTAGACAATTTTTACTTCTTTATTTCTCACCAAATTCAAAGTGTGCAATGTCCATTTGGACGGAGGTTATAATATATATAATACAATTTTTTCAATAATTTATTTAACTCATTTTCCGATTAAATTTTAATCATAAATTTAGCAAAGATAATCTACATTTCATGAATAACATGCTAGCAAAATTTCATAAAAAGATTCAATTAGCTTAGGAAGCACCTCAACTGAAAAAAGTTTAAAATTTCTAAGCATTTAGGTAGCTTACCTTAGTCCTTAGATGAACATTTTCTTATATCGGCCGTATACATATTTGTGAAAATTCTAACAACTAAGGTGTTGTTCTGTTCGTCTTATTCTTATTACTTATTGCTTATTCTTATTTTATTCAGATCAGATCAGATCAGATCAGAAAAATTCAGATCAGATCAGAAAAATTCAGATCAGATCAGATCAGAAAGATTCAGATCAGATCAGATCAGAAAAATTCAGATCAGATCAGATCAGATCAGAAAAATTCAGATCAGATCAGATCAGAAAGATTCAGATCAGATCAGATCAGATCAGAAAGATTCAGATCAGATCAGACCAGATCAAAAACATTCAGATCAGATCAGAAACATTCAGATCAGATCAGATCAGAAAAGTTCAAACATGATTTATCACTTTTATTACTATATTAATTATTATTATTAATATTGTTATTACAATTATGATTATTATTATTATATAATTATGATTAATAATATTAATAATAATATGATAAAAAAAATAAGATATTAATAATAGTTATAATATTTTAATATAATAATAGTAATATAAATGTAATTATTAAGAAGACTATTAGTATTATTATCATCATCATCATCATCATCATCATCATCATCATCATCATCATTATCATTATCATTATCATTATCATTATCATTATTATTATTATTATTATTATTATTATTATTATTATTACAATATAATAATAATATGATTAATGTTAATATAATATTATATTATAATTATATGTAATTATAATTATAATTACAATTATAATTCTTATAATTATAAGTATAGTCAATTGTATTTATTATAATTATATCTATAAATATTTATAATTATAATTGTAATTAATTATAATTATAATAATTATAATTATAATTACAATCATAATTATAATTATGATTATAATTATAATTATAATATAATATTATAATAATATAATACTAATTATAATAATAATAATCATATTATTATTATTATATTATTGTAAAAATAATATGAATATAATAATATCATTATTATAATATTAATTGTATTTATATTACTATTATTATATTATAATATTATAATTAATGTTAATATAATTATAATTATTATTAATTATAATTATAATAATTATAATTATACTTATAATTATAATTTATGATTATAATTATTAATATTATAATTATTATTATTATTATTATTATTATTATTACTATTGTAATTATTTTACGGAGTAATTATAATAATATTGATAACTATAGTTACAATTATAGAGATAAATTTTGTAATTATAATTACAATTATAATTATATAAGTAATTATAATTAAAAATATAATTACAATTATAATTATATCTATATTTATAATTAGTGTAATAAGTATAAATTTTTTCATTTTAATTTTAATTTTAATTATTATTATTATTATTATTTTTATAGTTACGATTATAATTATAATTTTATTTAAATTATATTTGTAATTGCAATCATAATAGTTATAATTATAATTATAATCATAGAAATATTCAAATCAGATCAGATCAGAAAGATTCAGATCAGATCAGACCAGATCGGAAACATTCAGATCAGATCAGATCAGATCAGAAAGATTCAGATCAGATCAGAAAAATTCAGATCAGATCAGATCAAAACTTAAAAAATTCAGATCAGAAACATTCAGATCAGGCGAAGAGAACAACTTCTAACTTCGCTACATCTAAAAAAAATCTTCGTTACATACGTGTCAGTGTGTCACATGTATTCATTCCTCATTCCGTACTAAGCTACTAGATTGATACTCCCGAGGATCTATTCACGGTGTACACATTTTTTGTACCTTTCGTACACTCGTTCGTCTCACGCACACAAAATTATCTGTCTGTAGACAATTCTACAGAGTTGTCTCGACAAATCTGTACTCCCAAGTATTGTACTCCGTATTTATTTGTATGATGACTAACAATATTTTTATTTAGAATGTTTTCACCCAACTAGATCTAATCATGTCAGATCAGACCAGATCAGACCAAATCATATTTGGATAGTTATATAATACTCCGTCCCATTTTGGTTGTCTTACTTTCAATTTTTTATTGTCCCAAAATGAATGTCATGTTTCCCTCTTTAGTAAGAAATTTGTGATTTATATCATTTCGTTATACTCAAATCTCAATCACAACTTTTACTTTTCGACCACTTTATAATAATTGTGCTAAATTGAAATGAGACAATCATTATGGAATGGAGGTAGTACTACATAGAGATCATACATTCACCCAACCAGACATATCAGTTCAGAACAGATCAGAGACACGATTTCACTTCAATTGAAAACATTATACGTAGTAAAAGTTAATGACAAAACTTGGTCTTGCTACGGGCATAAGCTTGTTGTTGATTCTTAATTATGTAGTACTTCCCTCCGCCCCCTTAACTTTGTCCCGTTTTACCTTTTTCGTCCGTCTCATTAAGTTTGTCTTATATCATATTAGGAAATGTTTGAGTGGTTATAAATCATTCTTACTTTATTCACGCTTTACCAATTCAATATCAACCACACAATTCTACTTTTTCTTAAAAACCACACCACACCCCTTTGTACCAAACTTAGAGGACGGAGGTAGTATTTGGTAGTGAACCAGTGCCATCCACATGCAAAGGAGAAGGTTTTCGATTGGATTTAGTAACATACATCTTCAATGTGGAAATTACCCGTCTGGGCCACTTTTGTGGCCCGTATATCATTAATGTTTCAATAGTTTTTTCTTTTCACTTTTAAACTTTTATGTTTTCAATTTTGTTTTCTTATTTCAAAAATAACCTAAATCTTCATCGTTTGACTATTTCTCGATCTTTCTCCTCATCTGCCTCTTACCTATTCGTATACGAGAGAGACGCACCCCCAGTCAGATTCCGAGGAGAGTCGTTGGAAGGCGGATTGAGATTGCCTAGAGAGTGAGGTCGCAACGAAGTGGAGATCGTTCAAGTGGAGACTTGCGGCGCTGAAGGAACGTGCTGCGAGCAGCGACTCTGCGAAGAGGCGGGCGGCGCTATGACAGGGGCGGCGGAGTTCATACTCGAGACTATTCGTCGGTGGTTGTTGAATCGGTCCGCACCTGGGCTGCGAGTCAGACCAGGTTCTTCGTTCGACACCTGTAATGTGAAATAATGGGAAAGAGGTACTCCAATAGGAGTCCTGACAGATATATTTATAATAGAAGAGTTGCCAAAATACAAAGTATTCCTAAATAGATATTAGGCAGATTCCTAAATATCTATTAGGTAGATTCCTAATTATATTAGCCTATTACACCCCCTCAAACTGTGCGGGAGATACAATGCGCAGTTTGTCTTTTAAAAAATGAAATTGCAAACTAAAAAAAAACTCTTAGTAAATATATCCGTGAGCGGAAGATTAGAAGGCACATCTTTGACAATAAGATCTCTATGAGAATATATGTCTGCAGCAGCAAGCGGCGAACTCAACAGCGCGCTTGAAGCAAGCACCGTGGTCAGCGACGCGGAGAAGGTGGGCTGCGCGGACATAGGCAGCAGCAGGCGGTGAACTCAACGGCATGCTGGAAGCAAGCACCGTGTTCAGCGACGCGAAGCAGGTGATCTGCGCCATATTAGCCGCGCTCATCTTCAAAGGATCGAAGACTACCGTAAATGTGGCGGCAGTCGACCCCGAGGCGGCGGCGTCTATAATAAGGTTCATGGGAACCGGAAAAAAAAAGAGAGAAAAAAAATGTGTCTAAAAACCTAAGCTTTTGATACCATGTGAAATAATGGGAAAGAGGTACTCCAATAGGAGTCCTGACAGATATATTTATAATAGAAGAGTTGCCAAAATACAAAGTATTCCTAAATAGATATTAGGCAGATTCCTAAATATCTATTAGGTAGATTCCTAATTATATTAGCCTATTATGTAATTCCAGATGTGATTTCTTTTTCCAAGCAGATTTTCCATTTTTTGCAGGAATTAAATTCTATTTTTTTAATTCATATCACAGAGATGGACCGAAAATGCTTCGCAATCAGTTCAGATTCAATCCTAGCTCTCACTGGCTCAAAGGATGGCTCTGTTCACATTCATTACATTACTTATGTTTCTATTTCATCCCAGCAGATACTCATCTTAAACAAACTTCTTTGAGGTTTTATCTCCTCTCCCTCGGTTTACTTATTCATTATAACTATATGTGTATGTGTGCTTGAATGGATTTTGGAAAATGTAATTCGTTTTTTAATGGAAGCTTTATTCATACATGTCTGGACTCTGGACTCTGGACTCTGGAGTAGGGTTTGCCTTCAAAGTATAAGGCCAGTGCACCATTTACAATATTAAGAAGATTTTAGAATTTACAGAAAACGGCTAAAAACTGAAGAAATCTCCATTTTTGCCGGTAGATGGGAAACACACAGACTACATACATATTTAAGCCATAAAGGGCTAGAAGGCTTTAAGATGGACGATAAAAACAGCACTGAAATCTAGAAACATCAATTGGGGTCCATTAACTCTTTGCAGATCAAGCAGATAATTCTCGTCCTGGGTTTTGTACAGCTGCATTTCAAACTTGACCACACTTTGAGGAGTTGAGGCAATGGACTGTTATTTGCATTTACAACACTTTGACTAACAACAATATTGTCATCACTCATGCAATTGTTGCTTGTCTTGCGAATTGGATAATGAGGATAACATATCATGAACTTCATATTATAGTGCTCAATTTTTTTCCCACCGGACATTTAATTCTTGCAACGCTCCAAGAACTTGAGTCATTATCTCTTGTGGACTTGCAGGGGACCGGAGTCCAACAAGCCACTTTTCCTCTCTTGACAATAACGGCTTCAAACATGCCCCGACCGACACCTCAAAATCAACATATGGAAACAATCCCGAGGAAAATACCTCCCTTGATTCCTCAAACTCAGCTCCGAGATATCCACCAGAAACAATGGATCAGCTCAGAAATGTAATTGGTTTGTCTATATACATATGCCATAGATCATCTTCATTCATTAATAGCTCATTTTTTGTGTTTGTTGTAGGTTTTAAAGGTTGACATCTTGTAATAATTCTTCTCTCATTCACACGTGCCATTGGTCGAGACCACCAACTGTCATTCTAAATTCTTACAAAAACATGTCTAAGTCCAAATCATTTTCTTTTAGCTCCAATAGTAGCCAAACTCTCATGTCATTTAGAGATAAGTTAACACCTATTAATCACGTTGTAGATTATTCTATTTTGATTCTTCATTGTATATTTATCTAGTTTTTCGATTCAATTATGCACCATTTGATGATCTAGCATAGTTTTAATATAAACTAGCTTACTTTTTCCAAATCTGTTTCTAGAGTGTGAGTATTGCAAGGCACTCTTACATTCAAGTTGGTTTCAGGTTTTATGCTTGGAGGAGGCTGTGTTTCAATGTCATATCCAAGATGTGTGGAACGGAAAAGGCATTGTGCAACATTGGAGTCGTTGTTATGGTCCAAGCTTCTGTCGAATAAGCACACTTTCTCTGAATTTTTCCGAGACAATTAAAATAGTTTCATGCTCCAGATGTGTGGCAGAGGGATTAATGTTGTTAATATAATTTATGTTGTTTGCCATTGGTGGCTTGAGTCTCTGCTATTGACATTCCCTTATGTGTATTTATGATTAATTGATTGTCTATGAAGAAAATCAAACAAGCTATGCAAGGAATAAAGTGAAAGTCATATGTTTATTACCCTCATGGTCTTCAATCCCAGTAGCTACAAACAACCCCAAAAGATTTTGTCTTTAGAATTAATGGATATTGGATGGGGGGATTGTATTACTATTGGTGAACTTTATTATGACTTTCTTATACTTTATTACAGCTTGTAATTGTAATTTTGATCATGAATACTAGTGTACGTTGAAATGCTATTCCTTACTGAATGCATTTTTATTGCATCATGTTTATATTATTGCTTTTCTATTTTGTTTCTTTTTGTTTTATAGTATTTCATTTCGTTGTATTGTGTTGTTTTTGTTGCATTTTGTTAATTTTTATTATTTATTGTTTATTTAATGTGCTCATTATTAATTTTTCTGTTCACTTGGGTTTTTATTTATTTTCATGACTTTCGAATTAAAAACCAACACTTGAACACTTATTCTTATTGATAAAAATTGCATTTGCAAAAAAAAAAAAAAAAGAAACATAAGTAAACAATTAAAAACAAGAAATGAAATATTATCAACAAAAATAAACAAAAAATAACATAAGGCAACAAAACGAAACAACAACAATAATATAATGGTAGTAATGATAATTCTTTGTGATTTAGAGGAGTAAATAAATAATGTATTTTAATATATTTTCATACATCTTTTATTGTTTAAAATTGATATATTTATTTTTGATTCTTTTATTTAAACATGTTTGTACTCGAATTTTTATACTGTTTTCAATTTTTTATATTTGAAAATATTTTCAATATTTTTTACTTTATTTTTGAATTTTTAATTTTCATATTTGTTTATTCAAAAAAAAAATCGTATTTGTTTACTTTATTCTGTCAATTTTTTACTTTTGAAAATTTTACTCTAACTCTTCACTTTTTCTTTTTATTAGTTTTTTATAACTTTTATTTCTAGTTTTATTCCAAAATAAATTATTTCTCTTAAGGATTTATTAGTCATTTGTTTGTAGGCACTATAAAATTTATTTATTTGAATTAATTTCACTTTTGATCTTATAATTATGTCAATTTCATATTTAGTTCACGTATTTTACTTTCCTCATTTAATATTTGACTAGTATTTATTGACTTTTTATATGACACTTCTACGGTGATTTTAACCACCGAAAATACCGACACAATGACTAAATATGTGCAAAATACGAAGTACAACAGTAATACATCGAAAGTGGACAAAGTAAAAAACATAGATCAATTGTGGAATTTAGATTTATATTTAAATTTCTTACTATTTGAATAGAAAATCATACAAACGCACATAAACACCTAAAAAGGTAAATACGGGTTTATGAATAAACAAAAAAAAACATGAACAAACAACAAAAAACAAAAAAATATCAAAGTTATCAACAAAAAGAAACACAAAGAAACAATGTTGTATGGAGGCATATTATGATAAACATTATTACTAAAAGGGAAGAATAGTAATTGAACTCCACAAATATTAGCATAAAAAATGTCAAAGTTATCAACTCTACGACTTTTAGTAGCATATATCACCATAAACGTTACGTTTCTAAGAAACACAAAAGGAAACAAAAAGTGGGGTTCTATTTTTTTTATATGGAGGCATACTATGATAAACATTATCACAAATATTAGCATAAAAACTCTACTTGAAAAGATCTACAACCAAGACTCTATCTTACAGTCATATTCACAATAACAAAGATTCTTGACAAAGACAATAGCTACTAGCTAGTCTACATGCATTCAAAGAGGAACATTAATTAAGAAAACATATACTCCGTACAAAGGAATGGCAAATAATTGATTATTCAAGAAAACCAATTTTGGTCAAAACCAATTTTGGTCAAAACAGCATTCCTAACTCTGCTAAGGTCTCTCTCTGCCTTTATGAGTCCTTCCAACACCTTCCCAAACAGAGGAAGAAGAAATCCGATGATCCCTGGCATGCTTCCTCGCAAGCCATTCGTACGGAGGCTTCATCCCCTTACCCTTGCCTCCTTCTTCCTCACATTCCCAGCTACTTCTTACCTTAGAGCCGCTGCCGCCAATTCCGCCGCAGTAGGTCTTTGACCAGTCAGGTATGTGGACAGGGGCCGACTGTCGATGGGCCTTCTTGACGGTAAGATAGAGTACATGGTCTGACATTGATGATATTCAAAATTTTAGCTTTTGATATATTAAAGCGCAGCTTTGATATTTTTCTAGAAATTGGTCAATAATTTCTCTAGTCTAATTACTGCACACAGCAATCTGTTCTAAATAATCAAAAACCTTAAACTCAGATGCCAAAATTGGGAGCATGACACGTGCAGCACCCTTTCCAGCTCCTCTTGATCTTAGAAACTCAAGCACCTTAAAATTGGTGACTGAAACTGAGATACTGAAGGCGGCCACTCAGCCAGATCTGCCACAAGGTGAGAAGTGAAATTGTGAGAAGTACACAACAATGCAGAAGGTGTGCTGGGCTGCTGGACTGCGATTGGCCGACTGCGACCTTGCGTCCTTGGCTCCTTGCGGAAGTACCGTCCTTGGTCTATTTGTGAAAACAAAAGTCTATTTTTGAAAAGATAATTGAACAGTGACAAAACTGATATTATTTTTGCGTTTTAGTCTATTTGTGATAAATTCCCTATCTTCAATTCCTCTGATCTCCATCATTAAAATTTTAAGACAAGTCCGCTAACTATAAGAATAAAAGTGCAACACTTACGGAGTATTTCAAGTGTTACCAAAAATTATTGTAACAGTTTTATAAACATTATACTGTTACATTTATTTGGCAATCATTACCTTTGGCAAGTCCTAATGTAATGTTTTCTATAACTGCAAAAACATCATTACATTTAGTTTAATGAATGCAACACTCTGATATAACCAAAGTAAAAATAAGCGACAAATCAAATCTCTCAAAATCAAAGTTTCTGCCACTTTTATTAGATTAATCCCGGATGGTAGGTAGGGGAGTAGGGGCATGGGGTATGGTCGTGGTAGGGTCATGGTGGGGGTTGGAATGTGGGGGTAGGGGCGGGGTACGGGGACAGGGGGTAGGGGTGTGGGGTACGCGTACGGGGTGCCCCCACGTATTATATGTATATATTTGTGTACATGAATGTTATGGTTGGTTATTTTGTACATTTTAATGTTAAATGGTGTTTTAAATCCCGTGAAGTAAACATAAGTTTATAACACTTCTTATTTTACGCGCCGCTTATTAATGCAAGTTTAATTTTAATAAGCACCACTTAGTAACCTATGAAGTAAACGTGTTATAAATTACAATAAGGAAAAAATGAATAAATTAAACAAAAGATTAGTCCAATTTATGGGGAAAAAAGATTACTAATCACTTTGATGGATTCTAAAAGACTAGAGGTAATATTTGTACATTTTTCCTTATAAATTGTACACCAAGACCTTACTTCAGTACTCAAACCTTATTGTATATTGATTTAAATAACTTCATATTTTGTGTAAATACGTTCATTTTATGGTGTATATATGTGTGCAACAAGTGTGATTATATAATTCTGTGTATGTTAAAGTTAATGTAAACGATTTTAGTTAGTCTCCTTTTAAAATAGATATAAAAAAAAGTCAAGTTTTTAGAACTATCATTTTTTTCTATTCTAACCTGTTAACCAAGGTTTTTCTCTTTTCTATTTGAAATTCAATTTATTACGATTCGTACGCAAAAAATTAAAGTGAAACTCGTAAGATAGAAATTACGATCAATTCATTCCATATTTCCTATTTCGAAAGAAATTTATTGCATTTAAACTTGAAATATTTGTAAAATGATCATTTTATCTTTTATTTTCTTAAAAAACACACCACACACATATGTGCCTTCCTTTTTTTAAGCACCGGTTGCAAACCATCCGTGGATAGGGTAAAGGCCGGGTAACATCTTACCAATTTATTATTAAAAAAGATGACAAAGAGAAATTAAATAGGCTGAGGCAGTATATTTGTACATGTATTTGCAATTTTGTGAGATTTATTTTAACTGTAAAATTTACATTATTGAGTAATATTCGTGTGCCTTAATGTATCTATATTCATCCTAATGTTTCAGAATTTAGAATTTTTTCTATTCTAACCTATTAACGGAGGTTTTTCCTTTTCCTTTGAAAATTAAATTTTATTTACGATCCCTATCAGAGCACAAATAAGTTAAAACAATCACTTTATATTTATTTGGGGTTTGGTCAAGAATATTACCAAAAATGTGACCATCCGTATGATTAATGAGTAAGCTTGGATAGAAATCGTCAAATATGCCCCTGACTAATTAATTGATACGCACCAAACCAATTAACATGCATATGTAGCTTACTTCCTAGCCGTTTCTCGTGAATGTAATTGGCAAGTCACAAAAAATTGACTTTTATATCCTCTCCTAATTAAATTTAGTTGACAACTTACGGTTACTTGATCCAATCCGATGTTCAAATAATTTCAACCCGACCAGTTACAATTATCCGACCCAACCAATTACAGTTACCCGACACGACCAGTTACACTTACTCGACCCGACCAGTTACAGTTACTTAACCCGACCAGTTACATTTACCCGACCGGCCGACCAATTACAGTTACCCGACCCGGCCAGTTACAGTTACTCAACTCGACCAGTTACAGTTACTCGACCCGGATAGTTAACGTTACTTACACGATTGGTTATGGTTACTTGACCAAAAAAGTTGCAATTACCCAACCCGGTCAGTTTCAACTATGCGATTTGACCAGTTATAGTTACCTGAACCGATTAATTACCGTTACAATTACAACCGCCCAATGATATGTTTTTTAAACAAATCTACAGTGATGCCACTGTCCACTGCCCGTCATCCACCGTCAGCCAACCCCACACCACTGCCATAGCGGCCGGAATACCACCGCAACACCAGTGATAGATTGATAGTTACTCATCCGCCTGTACGGTTAGCCATGCCCGCCCATTCAGTAACCAACATTACATCACCACTGCCATACCCAACCAGCGCTGCCTCCGACCACCACCGTCCACCGTCCCACCATGGTCCGCAGCTGACCTCCCATGCATCACCCCAGCTCCCACCTCACTCCTCCCCTCCCCTATC